CGTCCATCGATCACTGAGAGCACCTTCTGCTTGGCTGGCTTGCCGCCAGTTGCCCGCAGATCCTCATCGGAGCTATCGGTGGCCTGTGGAAAGAGAAGAGAGCATTAAATAAAGGAAGGTCTTTCAGTGGAATCTCCCTAGACACTCACGATACCCATTCTTTTGATAAGCCGACAGAGCTTGTTTATCGACTCCAAATCCATGTTATACAGCTTGCTCTCGTCAAGCTCGCTCCCGACGGTGCCCTGGAGCTTGGCATCCGGCAGCTTGGACCATTTGATGCTCTTTAATGGATTCGTGGCTGTGGCACGTTATTCTTTGGCAGTTCCACCTTGGGTGACACAGGATCTGCAGGCAAAGGATAGAAATTAATTTGTGGCGCTCCTTGGCTTAACTTAACTCTGTCTCACCCATTGCTGGCGTCATCTACGGTGGCGAAGGCAGTGCACCCGGCGGTGGTGGTGGCATCATGGCCGCGCCATTTTGGCGGTGGCGGCATTATGGCCGGCGCCATTTGGGCGTGGCGGCATTATGGCCGGCGCCATATGGCCGGCGCCATTTGGTGGTGGCGGCGATATGGCCATGACCATGGCCGAGGGCGCGGCGGCGGCGGTGGCTACACAGCTCCATTGGAGCCAGTCAGACCGCCACCTTCTGGGCATCGGGTATGCTGCCCTCGGTGACCAGATGCTCGAGACGGCCCGCTTCTGCTGCTCAATAAGCAACCGATGATACCGATCTACAAAAGTTGTGAAAAATAACTGTCACTTTTCGATAATAGTAGTAAAAAAAACATAGCTGGTCACAGCACAAAAGTTATGAAAAACAACACTAATTTTTCGATATTAAAGTAGTGAACATTAGCTGGTCACACTACAAAAAAGTTATGAAAAACGACACTAATTTTTCGATATTAAAGTAGTGAACCTTAGCTGGTCACACCTCCATGCTGCATATGGCGGCTCCATGTCAGCTGATCGTCGACCTTATTATTATTATTATTAACATACCTAACCATCCTCGCCGAACAGACGCACGGCGTGATCGAAGCGGTCTTCATGTCCTGGAACTTGTCCTCCAGCTCCGCAAAGTGGACCGATGCCGAGGCGTGGAACTCCCGCATGAAGGGCAAAGTTCGATTGAACTCGATTTTGCGTGCCACATCCGCCAGGCCGGTGAGCAGCATCTGGATGTCCATGTCCATGTCCATCTCGCCCAGCGACACCTTGGAAGCCTCACGGGCATGCGGAATGTGATCCTCCAGCTCCAGTGGATCCTTGAATTTACTCTCGATTACCTGGACGAGATATTGCAGCAGGTGGTGCCCTTGGCGGCACTGGACTTGGTGTCGGCCACGCGCCCTGCGGTTCATGTAGTTGTCTGTAGTATTTAAGAATGCACTTAAAGTGAAAATAAATGAAAAAGTGAATGCATAGATTACCCATAGCCAGAATCAGCTCAAGGAGCTTTCGCAGACGTCGGGAACTAGCCACTACGCGGTACGCCTCTATTACACTGGCGATGCGGTGTATAAGATCGTTGACCGTCGGCATAAAGCGCTTCCTGTAGTGGAGACTCTTCAGCCTTTACTCGTAGTGGGGAATCCTGCCAGGACAAAAGAACAAATAGTTTAGTGACTGCCAAATCTCTTCGATGCCCTTCAAACCCACTTTGATATTTCGTAAAGGAAGCGATCGGCGCGGCCAGTGACTCAATATCCTCTTTATGCTCATCCAACAGTGCATGTTCTCCACCACGGCGTAAACTTTAGCAGCTGCTCGTTGCTGTCCATCGAGAAAATGGCCTAGAAGAAAGAGATTAGTATTTGGAACCAGGACGTGACTAAAGCAACTCCTACTCGCTCATCTTCAGCTTGCTGAGCAGGACGGTGCAGTTCTGGGCCGGCGTCCATCGATCACTGAGAGCACCTTCTGCTTGGCTGGCTTGCCGCCAGTTGCCCGCAGATCCTCATCGGAGCTATCGGTGGCCTGTGGAAAGAGAAGAGAGCATTAAATAAAGGAAGGTCTTTCAGTGGAATCTCCCCTAGACACTCACCGATACCCCATTCTTTTGATAAGCCGACAAGAGCTTGTTTATCGACTCCAAATCCATTTATACAGCTTGCTCTCGTCAAGCTCGCTCCCGACGGTGCCCTGGAGCTTGGCATCCGGCAGCTTGGACCATTTGATGCTCTTTAATGGATTCGTGGGCTGTGGCACGTTATTCTTTGGCAGTTCCACCTTGGGTGACACAGGATCTGCAGGCAAAGGATATAAATTAATTTATGTGGCGCTCCTTGGCTTAACTTAACTCTGTACTCACCCATTGCTGGCGTCATCCACGGTGGCGAAGGCAGTGCACCCGGCGTGGTGGTGGCATCATGGCCGGCCATTTTGGCGGTGCGGCCATTTTGGCGGTGGCGGCATTATGGCCGGCGCCATTTGGTGGTGCGGCATTATGGCCGGCGCCATTTGGTGGTGGCGGCGATATGGCCATGACCATGGCCGAGGGCGGCGGCGGCGGCGGTGGCTGCACAGCTCCATTGCAGCCAGTCAGACCGGCCACCTCTGGGCATCGGTATGCTGCCCTCGGTGACCAGATGCTCGAGACGGGCCCGCTTCTGCTGCTCAATAAGCAACCGATGATACCGATCTACAAAAAGTTGTGAAAATAACTGTCACTTTTCGATAATAGTAGTAAAAAAAAATAGCTGGTCACAGCAAAAAAAGTTATGAAAAACAACACTAATTTTTCGATATTAAAGTAGTGAACATTGCTGGTCACACTACAAAAAAGTTATGAAAAACGACACTAATTTTTCGATATTAAAGTAGTGAACCTTAGCTGGTCACACCTCCATGCTGCATATGCGGCTCCATGTCAGCTGATCGTCGACCTTATTATTATTATTATTACCTAACCATCCTCGCCGAACAGACGCACGGCGTGATCGAAGCGGGTCTTCATGTCCTGGAACTTGTCCTCCAGCTCCGCAAAGTGGACCGATGCCGAGGCGTGAACTCCCGCATGAAGGCAAAGTTCGATTGAACTCGATTTTGCGTGCCACATCCGCCAGGCCGGTGAGCAGCATCTGGATGTCCATGTCCATGTCCATCTCGCCCAGCGACACCTTGGAAGCCTCACGGGCATGCGGAATGTGATCCTCCAGCTCCAGTGGATCCTTGAATTTACTCTCGATTACCTGGACGAGATATTGCAGCAGGGTGGTGCCCTTAGCGGCACTGGACTTGGTGTCGGCCACGCGCCTGCGGTTCATGTAGTTGTCTGTAGTATTAAGAATGCACTTAAATAGTGAAAATAAATGAAAAAGTGAATGCATAGATTACCCATAGCCAGAATCAGCTCAAGGAGCTTTCGCAGACGTCGGAACTAGCCACTACGCGGTACGCCTCTATTACACTGGCGATGCGGTGTATAAGATCGTTGACCGTCGGCATAAAGCGCTTCCTGTAGTGGAGACTCTTCAGCCTTTACTCGTAGTGGGGAATCCTGCCAGGACAAAAGAACAAATAGTTTAGTGACTGCCAAATCTCTTCGATGCCCTTCAAACCCACTTTGATATTTCGTAAAGGAAGCGATCGGCGCGGCCAGTGACTCAATATCCTCTTTATGCTCATCCAACAGTGCATGTTTCTCCACCACGGGCGTAAACTTTAGCAGCTGCTCGTTGCTGTCCATCGAGAAAATGGCCCTAGAAGAGAAGAGATTAGTATTTGGAACCAGGACGTGACTAAAGCAACTCCTACTCGCTCATCTTCAGCTTGCTGAGCAGGACGGTGCAGTTCTGGGCCGGCGTCCATCGATCACTGAGAGCACCTTCTGCTTGGCTGGCTTGCCGCCAGTTGCCCGCAGATCCTCATCGGAGCTATCGGTGGCCTGTGGAAAGAAGAGAGCATTAAATAAAGGAAGGTCTTTCAGTGGAATCTCCCCTAGACACTCACCGATACCCCATTCTTTTGATAAGCCGACAAGAGCTTGTTTATCGACTCCAAATCCATGTTATACAGCTTGCTCTCGTCAAGCTCGCTCCGACGGTGCCCTGGAGCTTGGCATCCGGCAGCTTGGACCATTTGATGCTCTTTAATGGATTCGTGGGCTGTGGCACGTTATTTTGGCAGTTCCACCTTGGGTGACACAGGATCTGCAGGCAAAGGATAGAAATTAATTTATGTGGCGCTCCTTGGCTTAACTTAACTCTGTACTCACCCATTGCTGGCGTCATCCACGGTGGCGAAGGCAGTGCACCGGCGGTGGTGGTGGCATCATGGCCGGCGCCATTTTGGCCGGCGGCATTTGGCGGTGGCGGCATTATGGCCGCGCCATTTTGGTGGTGGCGGCATTATGGCCGGCGCCATTTTGGTGGTGGCGGCGATATGGCCATGACCATGGCCGAGGGCGGCGGCGGCGGCGGTGGCTACACAGCTCCATTGCAGCCAGTCAGACCGGCCACCTTCTGGGCATCGGTATGCTGCCCTCGGTGACCAGATGCTCGAGACGGGCCCGCTTCTGCTGCTCAATAAGCAACCGATGATACCGATCTACAAAAAGTTGTGAAAAATAACTGTCACTTTTCGATAATAGTAGTAAAAAAAGCTGGTCACAGCACAAAAAAGTTATGAAAAACAACACTAATTTTTCGATATTAAAGTAGTGAACATTAGCTGGTCACACTACAAAAAAGTTATGAAAAACGACACTAATTTTTCGATATTAAAGTAGTGAACCTTAGCTGGTCACACCTCCATGCTGCATATGGCGGCTCCATGTCAGCTGATCGTCGACCTTATTATTATTATTAAACATACCTAACCATCCTCGCCGAACAGACGCACGGCGTGATCGAAGCGGGTCTTCATGTCCTGGAACTTGTCCTCCAGCTCCGCAAAGTGGACCGATGCCGAGGCGTGGAACTCCCGCATGAAGGGCAAAGTTCGATTGAACTCGATTTTGCGTGCCACATCCGCCAGGCCGGTGAGCAGCATCTGGATGTCCATGTCCATGTCCATCTCGCCCAGCGACACCTTGGAAGCCTCACGGGCATGCGGAATGTGATCCTCCAGCTCCAGTGGATCCTTGAATTTACTCTCGATTACCTGGACGAGATATTGCAGCAGGGTGGTGCCCTTGGCGGCACTGGACTTGGTGTCGGCCACGCGCCCTGCGGTTCATGTAGTTGTCTGTAGTATTTAAGAATGCACTTAAATAGTGAAAATAAATGAAAAAGTGAATGCATAGATTACCCATAGCCAGAATCAGCTCAAGGAGCTTTCGCAGACGTCGGGAACTAGCCACTACGCGGTACGCCTCTATTACACTGGCGATGCGGTGTATAAGATCGTTGACCGTCGGCATAAAGCGCTTCCTGTAGTGGAGACTCTTCAGCCTTTACTCGTAGTGGGAATCCTGCCAGGACAAAAGAACAAATAGTTTAGTGACTGCCAAATCTCTTCGATGCCCTTCAAACCCACTTTGATATTTCGTAAAGGAAGCGATCGGCGCGGGCCAGTGACTCAATATCCTCTTTATGCTCATCCAACAGTGCATGTTTCTCCACCACGGCGTAAACTTTAGCAGCTGCTCGTTGCTGTCCATCGAGAAAATGGCCCTAGAAGAGAAGAGATTAGTATTTGGAACCAGGACGTGACTAAAGCAACTCCTACTCGCTCATCTTCAGCTTGCTGAGCAGGACGGTGCAGTTCTGGGCCGGCGTCCATCGATCACTGAGAGCACCTTCTGCTTGGCTGGCTTGCCGCCAGTTGCCCGCAGATCCTCATCGGAGCTATCGGTGGCCTGTGGAAAGAGAAGAGCATTAAATAAAGGAAGGTCTTTCAGTGGAATCTCCCCTAGACACTCACCGATACCCCATTCTTTTGATAAGCCGACAAGAGCTTGTTTATCGACTCCAAATCCATGTTATACAGCTTGCTCTCGTCAAGCTCGCTCCCGACGGTGCCCTGGAGCTTGGCATCCGGCAGCTTGGACCATTTGATGCTCTTTTAATGGATTCGTGGGCTGTGGCACGTTATTCTTTGGCAGTTCCACCTTGGGTGACACAGGATCTGCAGGCAAAGGATAGAAATTAATTTATGTGGCGCTCCTTGGCTTAACTTAACTCTGTACTCACCCATTGCTGGCGTCATCTACGGTGGCGAAGGCAGTGCACCCGGCGGTGGTGGTGCATCATGGCCGGCGCCATTTTGGCGGTGGCGGCATTATGGCCGGCGCCATTTTGGCGGTGGCGGCATTATGGCCGCGCCATTTGGTGGTGGCGGCATTATGGCCGGCGCCATTTTGGTGGTGGCGGCGATATGGCCATGACCATGGCCGAGGGGGGCGGCGGCGGCGGGCTACACAGCTCCATTGGAGCCAGTCAGACCGGCCACCTTCTGGGCATCGGGTATGCTGCCCTCGGTGACCAGATGCTCGAGACGGGCCCGCTTCTGCTGCTCAATAAGCAACCGATGATACCGATCTACAAAAAGTTGTGAAAAATAACTGTCACTTTTCGATAATAGTAGTAAAAAAAAATAGCTGGTCACAGCACAAAAAGTTATGAAAAACAACACTAATTTTTCGATATTAAAGTAGTGAACATTAGCTGGTCACACTACAAAAAAGTTATGAAAAACGACACTAATTTTTCGATATTAAAGTAGTGAACCTTAGCTGGTCACACCTCCATGCTGCATATGGCGGCTCCATGTCAGCTGATCGTCGACCTTATTATTATTATTATTAACATACCTAACCATCCTCGCCGAACAGACGCACGGCGTGATCGAAGCGGGTCTTCATGTCCTGGAACTTGTCCTCCAGCTCCGCAAAGTGGACCGATGCCGAGGCGTGGAACTCCCGCATGAAGGGCAAAGTTCGATTGAACTCGATTTTGCGTGCCACATCCGCCAGGCCGAGCAGCATCTGGATGTCCATGTCCATGTCCATCTCGCCCAGCGACACCTTGGAAGCCTCACGGGCATGCGGAATGTGATCCTCCAGCTCCAGTGGATCCTTGAATTTACTCTCGATTACCTGGACGAGATATTGCAGCAGGGTGGTGCCCTTGGCGGCACTGGACTTGGTGTCGGCCACGCGCCCTGCGGTTCATGTAGTTGTCTGTAGTATTTAAGAATGCACTTAAATAGTGAAAATAAATGAAAAAGTGAATGCATAGATTACCCATAGCCAGAATCAGCTCAAGGAGCTTTCGCAGACGTCGGGAACTAGCCACTACGCGGTACGCCTCTATTACACTGGCGATGCGGTGTATAAGATCGTTGACCGTCGGCATAAAGCGCTTCCTGTAGTGGAGACTCTTCAGCCTTTACTCGTAGTGGGGAATCCTGCCA